CCCCTCTCTTCTTTCTTTTTTTTTTTTTGAGCGGAGTTCCTCGCTCTGTCGCCGCAGGGCTAGAGTGCAGTGGCACCATCTCAGCTCACTGCAAGTCTCCGCCTCCCGGGTTCATGCCATTCTCCTGCCTCAGCCTCCTGAGTACGCTGAGACTACAACGCACCCGCCGATCACGCTCAGCTAATTTTTGTTTTTTTAATAGAGGACGGGTTTCCCGTAGTTTGCCAGATGGTCTCGGATCTCCTGACTCTGATGCACCTGCCTCGGCCTCCCAAAGTGCTGGGATTACAGGCGTGAGCCACCACACCCAGCCTCTTTCTTTCTTTCCTTCCTTCCTCCCTCCCTCCCTCCCTCTCTCTCTTTCTTTCTTTCTTTTGCTGCTGCCTCAACAGAGATTTTTCTAATTCTGGTTATGTCAGGATGCATAGTGAGGCGCTGGGAGAGGCCTTCAAGGTGGGGCTGGTGTTTCCAGCCCAAGAGTCCTGAACTGCCCCATCTCAACTGCCTGAGAAGCACATTTGGGAGACCTCAGGGCACCCTAAGGGATGTGGAAAATCCTATGTCCTTCCTTCCTTCCTTCCATCTCAACTGCCTGAGAAGCACATTTGGGAGACCTCAGGGCACCCTAAGGGATGTGGAAAATCCTATGAATTATCCGAAAAGAAGTCCTGGCAGGTTCCTCTCCCCAGTAATCCCCCTCAGGAGGGTCACTGTCCTGATGCTGGATGTGGTAGGAGTTAACCCTGCAGGCAGGAGGAAGCCCCAGCGGGTCCATCTCCAGCAGGGATGGAGAGAGAGCTGAGCCAGGACAGGGGTGCATGGTGAGGCCAGGGAAGGAGACCCAGCTCTACCCCAGGGAGAGGGACTAAGCACACTGAGCTGGCCCTGGGGAGACCCTGACAAGGCTTACACAGGCCGCAGGGCTGCAGTGATCTCCCAGTGAGCCCCAGAAGGGGTCAGAGGGGGAGGTTTGGAGGCGGTGCTAAGAGATGTGGGGAGCAGGGGGAAGGAGGGTGGGGTGCAAGGGAGGAAGTGTGGGGAGGGAGGAGGAGGCAGAGCCATCCAGGAGGGCTCTTCCTCCTCTGGGCTTTCCCCCTGCTGTCCACAGACACTTGATGGATCCAGACACGTTCACTTTCAACTTTAACAATGACCTTTCGGTCCTTGGACGGCACCAGACCTACTTGTGCTACGAGGTGGAGCGCCTGGACAATGGCACCTGGGTCCCGATGGACGAGCGCAGGGGCTTTCTACGCAACAAGGTGACCAACCCAGCCACCTGCATCCAGGCTGGGCCCTCCCAGTCCATGGACACGCATAGGCAGAAGGTTCTGGGTGGTACCTGTGGTGTCCTGCAGAGTGTCTGTCACCTGTGCTTCCTGCAGCTGCTGCTGCTTGGCCCTGGGGTTGGGGGCGGGGGGAACTTCGGCTTCACTGACTCTCCATGGCCAGGTGGGGTGGAGTCTGCCTGACGGCAAAGTGCTTCCTGAGGAGCCTCCCAGGATCCCCTCACGGACGCAGCTCCCACCAGGAGCGATTCGGAACTGTGGGATTTGAGGACTCAGGGCCTACCTGACTCACAAGGCCGGGATGCCCCTGTGCCTGCTCTTTGGTCTCATCCTGCAGGGAGAGAGACTGAGGCAGGAGAGGCCGATCAGGGGTTCTGTCCGGCCCGGGGTGGAGTCCACAGCAAGCGCCCAGAACTAGGCTCATGTCAGGGATGGCAGGGATGTCAGCATTTGGGGGAGGAGCTGGGCCAGGCAGGCTGGAAGGGCCCTGAGCCC